ATGATAAATATTTTATTTATTAATTGTTCAGTTTAAATATAACTTCATATCATATTTGTTTTTTAGATAAAAAATATTGCTTCTTTTTCATTTAAAAAGTATTATTCTTTTAAAATAGATAACTGGTGAAACAATACAGAATTATATAGAAATCATGCATCCATTGAAAATAGGTGTGTAATTATAAATATCATAATAAAAATCTAATGATCTTACGATAAAATTTAAAAAATATATGTAAAATTTTATATAACCTTATTAATGGATCTATTTTTGCACATTTGCATAGAACATGATATTTCTTATTCTATCCTATGAGTTTGAAAAACATCTTATAAAAATTCAAAATGTCTATCAAATTTCAAAGATGCATCTTTAAATGCATCATGCACTATCTTATGATGTATTAAATGAGTGTCACTCTATAGTAAAATAAAATTTTATTCTAGAGATATATTTTCAGATATTTTCAACAAATATATTGATATTTGACCAGTTCAATGGATAGATGCAATTACGGAGGTTTGGGGTGAGATTTTAAAATATTTGTCACGTTTGTATGTCAAATATTTTTGGAGATGTATTTCCAGAATAAGTTGATAAAACACTCACATGCATGATCATATACAATTTTCCAGAAACTTTTTTCCACTGTGCACTGCCCCGACCTTAAAATCCAAATGATTGTATTATGTATATTGGATGACTTTCAAAATCACGACATTTTGTTCAAGTTTATTTGAAAACAGAATGCCTTATACCACTTGCATTAGTGGAGTGGACGACTCATTCAACAACAAAAGTCGAAACTTGGCCGGACCGATTTGTGGAAAAGATACTAGAGTTCACCAAATGGAACAACATTGAAAGAGAATCAAATGCGCAAAAGTCAAATGGAGGACCACTTATACTTATAGATTTTACTGGCGACAAATCTTTTGATTCATTTTAATTTTTCGTAATCAATTAATTGTATGTAATTGTGTATCAATATTAATAAAGTGTAATATATACAAGTTATGTGTTTTGTTTTTTTTTTGAGATATAGATGTACCCACACAGGTTTAGTTTTTTTTGTCTAGTTCAAGAGATATTTCAGAGATATTTCGGAAACGCATCTCCGCAATAAAAGAATAAGGTGGTACCAGAGATACATCTCCAAAACCTCCACTGATACAAGAAAGAATTTTTTAGATCCACATTTGTCTAAAACTTCTATAAATATAGGTTCATGTTTTTTATTTCATACACACAGAAAATGTCGCAAATGTCACAAATGAATATCATCTGGTATGTCGCAAATGTCTCATTTTCGAGCGCGACACCCGGGCAAAAATTTAAGATCAACAAGTATACCTCATTTGCATATCTGCAATATAGAGTGCAGAATCTCCTACTTTACGAAGATAGTCGAAAAAATGTGAAGCTCAAGTACCGTTCACCATAAATTAACAACGAATGCAAGATTGAGTTCAACAACTATGAGTTCAAGATAGATGTAGGTGTAAGGGCTATGTGGAATATGTTTTTCTGTTTTGAAACAAAAGTCTGATCGAGATGGAAGCGGTAATTTCAAGATTGGTCAACGATATTGTGAAGATGTTGAAACGTCCACCTGAATATTGAAATGTAATGTCTAATTTTATGTTAACACCACCTGTGTAATGTAGATTTTATGTTAAGAAAGGTAATTTTATTTTGTCAAAATACAATTCTCTAGTTTTCTGCTTCTGTTTCAATATGTTATAGAGATGCATCTACGGACAGGTTATAGAGATGCATCTCAAGACCGAAAAAAGTTACACTCATTGGACATGACTCAGAATTAGTCTAGAGTGTGTGTGTTTGGGGTGTGTCCAGAGATGTATCTCAGAAATCAGAGAACATTTTTATATTTTTACATGGTGTCTTAATAATATATATGATGCATTAAAAATCCATAGAAACTATAAACAAACCCGCAATCAGCCCAAAAGGTCATTTTTGTCCAAAAACCAGATTAGATGTAGGAAACCTAATAAATATTTAACGAAGTCTTTTCTAGACATCTTTAGAAATATATAATTTATTTTATTTAAAAATAATAATTTTAATTAATTAATTATTAAAATAATCAAAATACATATAAAAGACAATTAAAGAAATATTTTCACTAATAAAAAAATTTAAAACTAGTAATCATTCTAATTTACTAACAAATATCAAACATGCTCTTTAATTTCTTATGAATCATATTCACTATGTTTTCTCCGCCTTCAGGGTATTGCATCTTCCCAACTCCTTGTATAACTCATTATCTTCAAGCTGCTTCTGCGAGTTAAGTTCATTATGTTGTTATATTAATGTTGCATGTTCAGAATAAGTGTCACCGTATCGTGTGGCATACTAAGGTTGTTATTCATATTCATATTATAATTAAGCTAGTCATTCCTGCAAATTAGTATTAAAGAAAACAACTTGATTGGGTCTTTTGTAGCTTTGCAGTCCCTTAAACCATGACAGGTACATTCTTCATTGTCCTGCACTCATTACACAGGGTCACATAGTTGCCGTTGCACAAGGAACTTTTGGTTTTCAAGCCTTTCTAGTGTAATTGCCAAATGAATAGGCGAATTCTCTCTGGCACCTCAAGTCTCCAAATTTTCTTCCATTTCTTGTCTTGATTGGTGTTTCCCTCGTAAGTAACCGCGTCATATTTGACTGAGAACTCTCTATTGGTTGCTCTCCCCACATGCTAGCGTCACCCCGGCTATGCGCTTGCTGGAATTATGGTAGCAATTTTCTCCAGAATTTCCACTTGAAACATGAGTTTCAAGCGACACCTGTCCCAATCACCTTTGTTATTTACCAAATCAGCAACATTAGCATTATCAACATTAAGGTTGTTGTCAATTTTGTTTCTTAGACAACTGGTTCATCCCAACAGTCATGTAACGCCTTTGTGGCTTTCCCGTTTCCTATCGCCCTTATTTTAGGGTGCTCTATCAAGGTTTCAGCTAATATACGGCTACCCTTTCTAATATGTGTTTCGACCCTTTTTTTTTTTTTCCACAGACACAAATTGTAATATAATCTTTTGTATTTTTTAGTTTCACCGACACAAATTTTAATATAATCTTTTGTAATTTTAGACTAAAAATAATATGTCCACAATCCACCTCGCCCCTTCATTTTTTTATGGACGAATAAAATTTTAGATTAACAACCTCAACTATGTTCATTCTGGAGAACAAACATGCTTATTTGTCATCCTTAAATTTAGTGATAGGCATAAACAATGATGTCTTTGATCCGAAAGAGAATGGTGCTCGAGACCAAATGGTTTTGAGAGACACTTCTACCAAAAGTGTTGACATACTACATTATTTTATCCGTGCAGAAAATTTTTATTCACAGCTGAATACCTACAAATTTACCTACAAATTTCGATTATAACATGATTGTTCTTATCTCAAAGTTGGCCGTGGCAAACAGGCTCGAAATTTTTCATACGATTGCTTTAACTAATTTTTAGTTTAAACATGTAATTATTCATTGATTTTTTCTTTCAATTGTAATTGATTTGATTCTAATGTTTCAATTGTGATAGAATCTAAATATTTACAAATAGAAGTTAGAAATCTTCATTAATCAATTGAATGTTGTCAACTCCATTTGTTAGAACAGCTTCCATTGAGTCTCTGCACCTATCCTTTTTTCATTTTCACTTTCTGAACTTTTATTTGTTTTCGGAAAGAAGGATCTTGCTCAGGATTGCCCATTTTGAATTCCAGAATTTCGCTGAATTTGAAAGTTTTCACTTGGTAAGTTTCTATACCAAGGCTCAATCCAATTAAGTCCGTAGCGTCTACCAATTTCGTCAAGGCTCAATCCAATTAAGTCCGTAGCGTCTACCAATTTCGTCATATCCCCCGTTTTTTCTTTAAGATTGATATCATATCGCATTAGAATGTTTTTTCATTTGTTTTCTGAGAATTATATGCTGGAACTGTTGAATTTATTTGTTGAAACCTACTCCCATATTGGGTTGGGAAAAATAAAATTTCTTTCTATTTGTTTTTTGTTGTAACTAAAGCTTTAGCTAATCGCTTAGCACTTTTTTCTGAGCAACAACGAGGTTTTGTCATTGAATAACCTCTGCATTTCAAGGATGGTAATTTAATAGCCACTTTTCTGGGTAAAAAGAAATTTTGAATATCAGAAAAATTGTTTATTGAATTCACTACAATTATTCAGTACAATTATTCCAGCGATTGAGTTTGCTCTTGCTAAAGGTTGACATTCTATTTTGATTGAAAGTGAATCGGCTATAGCTTGCCTCAACCTTTCGATGATTCATTCTCATGTTCAAAATAGTTGTTACTGGGTCATGATCAATATATGATACCAACATTTCAGAATCCAATATATTCAAGTTAAACAATAAAATCATGGAGTAATTAGAATTTGAATAACTATATTTTTAGTTTAAGAAAAATTTTAACGTGTGATTACCAGTCAAAACATTAAGTTATGCTAAAAACTAGGAGTTTCCCTTCAACAATATAAATTGATAATGAGAAACAAAAAACTGTTTGTCGGACAAAATAGTCTTAAAACAGTTATTTGGATAAAAATCTTTATAATACTTTGCTGTAGGACCCTCGTTAGGAGGCGACCATTTTTAGCAGAGAGAAAGCATCAACAAGCCAAAGCAAATTGTTTTTAGCCTTGTTATTAAGCTGCGTTATTGAATTCAATATAACTCAAATACCAAACACAGAGTTTTACCCATCAATCATCATAAACAACTATTACTTACATTTCAGACTGCACTTAGTTTATAAAGGAAAATAACGCTGCCCAGTGAATATAGTTAACACTCAGCACAAATAATCCAAAAGATAAACAAGTACTTAGCATATAACATAGATAAATTTACATTGCGGATCTTCCATGAATAAACAAATAAACATAATAAATCCACAGTGCAAATCTTTGTTTTGAAATTTTAAGAAGCATCATTCAAATGCCCACTGGTTTTCCCTGCGGACTTCCTCCTCTTCCTCAGGACTAAAGTCATTCTTAATGTTAAAAGTCTTGCGGATTTCCTCTGGTGTCTTTCCCTTGATCATATCAGCTACCGTCTGGCATGTCAGATCAAGAAGGCTCTTGATGTTCAAATAGTTTGCAGCCTAAAAAGAAATAAATGTCAAACCAATAAGCAAATATGAACAACCTCATCCAACACAACATTGCAGAAGTAATGAAAATATGAGAGAAGGTAAAATGCAATGGAAATTATAGAATCCTGAGTTGCAACAGCGACAGAAAAAGGTGAAATACATCAGTTATCAAAGAATCCCAGAACATGATTAGAAAAATATATCATAATCAACAATTTGATTTTTTCATCAATCATAGATGTCTAAGGTTTTATTGATCCACCATTCAGAAAGCACTTTTAGTCACCAACTTCACAGTTATGCGAGAAAGACATCACTGTAAGTCTAGAAAGGGCAGAAACATTGACAAATAAACCAACAACATTGATTAGAAGAATTTCAATAATCTACTTGATTAAATCGCCAATAATTCAGATCTTTCTGGGGGGCTACTTTGGTATGAGAAAACACTTTAGTGAAATAATTCAAACATACAGTATGCACAACTATAGTGAAATAATTCATATTTCCAAAATTCAAACTGTGAAAAACAAGACTAACTTTCAGTGAATACAACTATGACATATTCACACTATTTGGAAAAAGACACTAGGATTATAAACTCAAACCAAACATGACCTTAATTTTCAGTGAATGCCTCAATAAAAATGCATAAATATATGTATATCATGAAAATTCTGGGTGTTTCAGCCACAAATCAACCATTGATTGTTAAACTGATAATAAACTAAACAAACCCCCCCTTTCATCTTGAGATGAATCTGCAAGAACTTTAAAAAATACAATTTTAGTATCAATGACTGATTAATAAAATGTTCCATTTTGCATTCAAATTCAACATAAAAGCAATAAATTCTTGAGTTAAACCTAAAATACAGACACCCAAATAGATAATAAGATATTTCTTAATAAAAAAACAAACAGGTTCACCGTAAGAATACCTTGAGTTAATCCGGAAAAAAAAACAGCTACGTACAGTTTAAACAACTAGCTAACTTCATCATAGATCACAATAATTAATCACAACAAAACGAAAACACAAAATCATGAAACCCTAATATTCATCCCCAAATCATGAAACACCGTCAATACCATCAACACATACAACACCAAATCGATACACAACAACGGTTAGATCTAAAAAAACTCAAATTAATAACTAACCAGGATGAGATCGAACAGCGTTGCCTGGTCAACCTTCACGAACTCTGCATCCCACGCCTTAAGTTCATCTTCAGAGGGCTTTTCATCAGAACTCACCGCATCAACGTGTTTCTTGCAGTATTCAATCACCTTAGCAAGGATCTTGCTCGTAACGTTCGGAAGGGGAATTCCGCTGTCTGCACAATCATCTTCGATCATATGCTTGATTGTTTGCGACTCCAAAGCCACCGCCTCGTCAACCTCAAAGGCTTCGCCGTCGGAGCTCTTGAGAGTGATCTTTCTTGGGGAAGACATGGTGATGATTAGGGTTTTGAGGTGGAGATTGAGAAATCGCGAACCCTAAGTTTTTTTCAGGAAAAAATTGTGATCTTGAAATTGGGAATGGAAGAAATGGTTAAGGGTAGAGGCTATTTATAGGCAGCTATTTTTATTATTATTTTCTATTTATTCTTTATAATATCAGAAGCGTTTGATTATCTACTAGATTCATCGAAAATAAGTTTAATTATTATGATGTCTATGATCTTTCTACGTGTCAAACAATCATTGGTTAGAAGATTTTATACGATTTTTTTAGCTATTGACACTTGATTTAATTATTTTTTAAATACAAATATCTTTTATTAACAAAAGTAGAGGAATTAGCAAATCAGAAATTAGCATGCTCTATAATTTCACCTAAACATGGGTGCAAATTCATCATCTTCTTAATTCCCACACAATTAAGGGTGTGGTTGTAGATTCACCTACCATATCAGATTAAATAAAATTTTACATGTGATTTTATATTTATATTTACTTTTTCGGTATAAATTTTCCCCTTAGATGATATTTATATTAATCTATTCTTTATATGGGAAATATGTGGAACATTAGATAGAACATATTGAAATCAAGTCTATGTTATATGTTTGTGTTGATTTTTAACTTTTTTCAATAGAAGATGGAGTGGGATCCATCTGGTCTCAGCCCCCACAAAGAAAAAATATTTCATAATATTTAGTCATCTTTTAATTTGCTTCCATAAAAATTAATTGTTGTTGACATCATAAAAATAATTAATTTTAACTATTTATCCTTCTATTTTTTTTTTTATGGATTATTTGATTATAATAGTACGCACTCAACTATATTTTATTTTGAAGATAAAATAATACTTTTAAAAGGCAAAAACTATTCTTCAACAGCAATAATTAAAATTTATTAGTGGATCAGCTCAACACCATAATATTTTATTAAAAATAATATTTTTATTGAAATTGTTAAATTTAATATTTTTATATATTTTTTTATAATCTTTTTAAGTCTTATATTTCTTTTAATTGTTTGAATTATCTCCATATGATATATTCTCTTTACAATATAATTTATAAGTCTTTTGTCTGTATTATCAAATTATCTAAATTTATTTTCCACAATCTTTTCTATTATAGGAGTTACCTAAACACTCTCTCAAATAATTTTGTTTCTAATCCTATCATGTTTAGTCTTACCACATATTCGACGCAATATCCTCATTTCTGTTGCACTTACTTTATTCTCGTGTTGATTGTTAATCACCCAACATGATGTTTAGTACAACATCACATATCTTATCATAGTTCGATAAAATATTCTCTTAGCAATTTCTTTGTGTCATATAGAACCTGTGAAGCCCTCCTGCATTGCAGTCACCCAACTTAAATTTAAAATTTAGATTCTACTTTGTTAACACAAAAACATCAACAATTTTGGAGGGTTTGTTTCACGGTATAAAAAATTAATCTCATGAACAATTTTCTCAGGCATAACATTCCAAGAAACAAGTTATTATAAAAAGTGTTTGGATAGTATCTTAAAATTCCAAAAATCTTTTATTTTTAGTTGAGTTGTAATTTGTGATCCTTTCTCATTTCTTTTAACATTTAAGTTGGACTGTGTTATTTGTGTATTTATGAGTCATTCATATACCTCTTAGGTATTTGAGTTAGACTGATTTTTGAGTTGTAATCACTCCTAAGCTTTTAAGCAAGGAGTGGATTATGTGTCTTTGAAAGTGTGACTTCCTTTCTTCTTTATTGTTAAGTTTGTCACTGTTTGTGTGACTAGTGGAAAATGAGAGGGATCTCATATCTAGGTGTTCCTAGGTAGAAGTAGCACAAATAGTGATTAGGTAAGAAGCTTGTAAACCAGAGGTTGTTTTCTACGGCTTCAAACTAATACTATTATAGCGGATTTCCTTCCTGACTTGGTAGCCCCCAGATGTAGGTGACGTTGCACTGAACTGGGTTAATAATTGACTGTGTTGTTTACATTCAAGCTCTTATTTTTCTGCATAAGTGTTGGTTGTTGTCTTGATTCCAGTGTCCTGACATCTGGTATCTGTGTGTCAGAATTTTACCTTCTAACAAACATAGGTATTTTTATTTCCAACCTTATATTCCTAGGAATATATTTTATATCCATGAAACAAACACACCCTTTCAGACAATAGATGAAGAATAGCATAACTTAACATAAATCTTTGTTGTGGCATACATAAATTTAACATGATATTTTATTATCAATAAATGGTTGAGGGTGTTTTAATAATTTTAAAATATCATTGGTCGGTCTTGCAAGTGTTGCATCCACCTCGATTGGATCCTTGGTTGCATAACAATGAAATATATTCCACATACACTTACATTTGCATCAGTCTTTAGCTCATTATGTTTCCAATATCACACTAGATTTGACAATTTTCTCATCTTCACCATTTATTTGTTTGGTCCTACCGCATGTTTAAGTTTACCTTTAATATTTGCTATCATATGATGCCTATAGGTTAAAAAATATGGTGTAGGAAACAGCTTTGCAAGCAAATTTATAAGTGTGATATGGCGATCAGCGAGAATCGCATGTGGCATATTTTCTTGTTCTTTTAACATAGTTCGACATACTTCCAAAGCCCATATAACATTATTCTCTCTTTCACTTTCCAAAAATGCAAACCAACTGAGAAAGACATATCTATAGAAGTATCACCAACAATATCAAAAAGTGGAAACATGTATTTGTTGGTCTTATATGTTGAATCAATCATCAGTATAATGGAAAATGAGTTGAACAACTCAGTGGAATTAGAATGAGTCCATAATATATCTTGAACAATATTTTCATCCTCGTGCACTATGTACCTAGATATATAATGTTCGTCATCTAATAACTTCAATAGTTGTGATATTGCACATCTTCGACCTCTTATCACCTTGTTGCTTCAGGTGTGAACATCGTATATTTGCTTAATATTTGAGAAACTTTTAGGTCTTTTCCTTTTCAAATTGGATAATATGTGTTTTGGCTAAACCATGTTCAATGTCATGTCAGAAACAAATTCTTCTTTTTAGAATTCAAACAACATACAATCGGATGACCGACTAACTGGTCACATAAAGCATGTTATGTATACCACAAATCACATTAAAATGTTTGTGTATTATTTGCCTTATGGTACCCGCGTAACTTAAAAGAACATGCACATTTCTTCGATTTGGTGTTATTGCGTTTTAACTTTCAAGTAGTTTCTTTATACTTTTCACTTCTTTCACATTTCATTGTAACAAATGCAAGTCTTCTATCAGAACCAGAATCTGGTCTCCCGATAACAATGTCGAACCCTAATTTGACAACCTATGTGCAGATCTATTGAAGTATATGTTCGAGTATAGCAAACTATTGTTTATTTATAAATAATTTTTCAACATCAAAATGGACATCGCTCGGTTTAACATCCTTATATGCAATAACTTTGGTGACAACATTAGGGTGCCACATAACTACAACCAATAAAATAGAAGACAATTTAAATTAAAGATTGAAACAATTTGAATTTTAATTTTCAAAACATTCATATGAGTATCCGAATTTCAAAATTCAAACACAACGTTCATATTCAAACAAAACTAAATCAGATTTTCTCATCAATGATCAATGGAATATATGTACATTACTTGTAATTCCAACTTTTTTTTTTCACCTTTTGATGTCAAAATACATAAGAATGTTTGAAAGTAAAAATCTTGATGAAGATATATGGTAGAAGATTTTGGTAGAGTTTTTCAATATTGTAGTGTTTTAATCATGAAGACATCCATACATGAAGATTTTGCAAAACTCGTCATCTTGCATGGTGTTTCCCAATCTCAATCCTCAAACAGTGGGGGAATATTTGAAGATTAAAATCCAAACCATTTTTTAAAACAAAATTAGGAGTGTCTATATGAATAGGGTTGGCAAAACGGGTCGTGACCCATAAGGCCGACCCGCACATCCGTCAAAAAATGACAAGTTGGGTTGAAATATTGTGTTCGCCTACCCGCTTAACCTGTCTTTTAAATCCGTCAACGTAATTATCAAACACTATTTTTTTTATTGTAAGTTAATACATGAACTATATTTTAGAATATTTGTTGATAATTTTATTTTATACATTTATTTGTGAATATATTTGTGAATATATGCAATATTTTTTTAAGTAAAATTTTATAAAAAGTAAAATATCTAATTGAAATATAAAAATAATTCTATTAATCTATTAAAAAAAAAAAAAAAAAATAAACAGACAAGTCCACCGTCCGCCAATCCACCACTTTGACGAGACATACTAGATTTTAAAGCTCATTTTCACTTAGAGCTTGCCCGTCCCACCCGTTTTTTTCATGAACTTAAGGCAGGGAAGGGCAGCGATCGCTTTGGTGATTTTGTTGTGATGAAGTGATTTTGTTGTAAAATAAATTCGCTTGGATTTCAATCTTTAAACACTAAAAAAGCATTTTCAAATTTCCATAAAATGTGTGATCATTCCATGGCGTGTAATGAACACCACCCAAAAGTCCTTGTTTCGCGTTTATTGCCAACCTTATTGAAGAGTTTACGTAAGGTTGCATGAAGCTAAAACATAAACTCGTGTTTATAAAAGAGTTTACATGGATTTAAATTGCAATTGTTATCAAGCATTATCAAAGCTCCACATGTCATACTTGCAAACAGACTCACACTTGCTAAGCTGAAACTAGAAAGAGGAAATTAAATGATGTGTTATATATAACTGAATTCATTTTTATTCTTCCTTCCCTTCAAGAGTGCACATTACAATCAAAGAAACAAAACCAAAATATCACATTCTTGAATAAGGAAAGATCCAAAACCCACATACAACACATCACAAGCCTCAGTTTAAAGCCCCTCGAAGAACCGGATATGGTCTTCGAATGTTTCCCCGTGTCTGATTTTGCTCAATGATCCATCATCTTCAACCTGAAATATTTTACAAGATATCATTCTTCAAGACAAATCATTTCTGGAGTCGATTTTGCATTTTTTTTTCTTCAAGCAAATGCTTAATTCTTATCATACCATTGCAAACAAATAGCATAGTGTAACAAGCAATATCTTTTAAAATGGTTTTGCTAACGATCCATTAGTTTTCGTTATCGATTTTCAAAATGTGTTTTGTTCTCGTGAAACCACTTTCTTGTACTATAGAGAAGCTTGTCTAACTACATTGGCAAATGAAGAAAGGATGATCCATACCCAGTACTCAGGAGGCCTCATCTTTAGATTGTAAGTAGATGCCATACTCATGCAGTAAGCACCGGCATCGTGAACAACTAGACCAGCACCCTGCAAGAGAAACTCAGATTAGATAGTCAAACTTCAAACAAGGCGGTATTATTGCCATCATCATTCAGTGTTGTCAACGGCAGATCCAGAAAAATGGTGGTTTATTCAACCACTACATTTCGGGGCAATAGCCGCTATTTCAATTTTTTTTTCTTTAATCTAAATAGCATATTGCGAAACAATGACAGTTTGTTCAAATTCCACCGTACTATATGTGCAACTATTTAAATATAATATCAATACATTATAGTACCTTGGCAGGAGTTGGAAGTTCTCTTCCTTTTCCTAAGAAATCGGCAGACTCGCAGACAGGGCCGACTACATCAAAAGTAGCAATCTCGGCATTTGCTGGGGCAGGGGAAACAAGCTCTATATGCTGCATTAAAAACAAGATGACATTAAAACATTCATTGATATCAATGATTTATATGATAAGCTAACAGAGATTAACAAGTACTTAAACAAATACCTGATAAGCATCATAAAGACTTGGACGGATAAGTTCAGCCATACTTCCGTCAATCACAATAAAGTTTTTAGAGCCATTGGTTTTGACACCTGTCACCCGGTTAACTAAGCAACAAGTATTTGCTATAAGTGATCTCCCTGGTTCAATGATAAGTTTAAGACCACGGGAAAGAACAAGCTCCCGCACCTACTCCAACCGAAAAAATTAATAAATTCAATTAGAAGGGATAGTGTGAAAGGTCCGGAGTACTCTAACAATAGACACATAGACAGTGTAAGGCCATGAGTACTGTCACACAATATGTACATTGATTGACATACTTTTACAAATGTATTTTTTCGGAAAGGCTACTTATTATTCCTTATTCTGAAAAGGAATTACGCCCTAAATCACATTTACTATGAAAAGATAAAGTGAGTTATATGGATAGAGTCCTCACAGTATCAATTAGATCTCTGGGTTTAGGAAGGACAGCACCGGCATGATAATAATCTATCCCAAGTCCACCACCAATATTTAAGTAGTCAACTTCAAAACCCTGAGCTCGGATTTCGTCAATGTAGTTGACCATAATAGAGGCTGCATCCCTGAAAATATCTACCTGGAAAGAAGGGAAAATGGAAAGCAACAACCACATCAACATTCATAATTAGATAAAGATTAAGAATCAGCGACAAGAGTGCAAAATGACATAATAAAGCATAAATATAAGAAGAAAAGTATGTCCCGGACCCGAAGCAATAAAGGACAAATAATAAATGCATAATAAACAAGGAAACATTGATTGCATAAAAGTGTATCCCAAAGTAATAAGCACAAGAAAAAGCAGATATATAAAGACTTTTTTGGATAACCTTGGTAATGGTTGATCCAAGATGACAGTGGGCTCCTACAAGCTTTAACTCAACAGGGTGCTCTTTGACAGCATCTAAAAACCATTGCAGCTTCTCATTTCTAATGCCAAATTTAGAGTTCTTATTCCCGGTGGCAACATAAGGATGAACCTAAAGATAACAGATATAAACCAAAAGATTAACCAATGCATATGCAGGTATCGTAGGAAGAAAAGAAAACCATTGCTTGTGAATTTTGTAGATAGTTCATAGTTTGAAAGTATGAACTGTTGTTTGCACTGAGAAATGTGTAAAACAGAACTTCGATAAATATCTTGGTAATAAAAATCTTCATTTTCTTCTAAGCATAAAACTTATTTCAGCCTCGTCAATACTATACGAGTAGCTAATTCAGTCTTGTGTTAGCAAAAAAATCACGGATTGTTAAAGTTCTGCTGTGCAATAGTGCTATAGCGCCTATTTGACAATATTTTGTACTAAATAGCTTATCGCAGAACAATAGCAGTTTGTCCAAGTTCCGCTACGTTGTAGCGGTGTAGCGCTGCTGTAGTGGCTATTTAACAGTATTGGCTAAAATATTACTCCCTTTGAACCACAAGATTCTGCAACTCAGTAAATAAACTAACAATTAACATACCTGTGGATCAACATCAGGATTAATCCGAAGTAAGACATTCACCCTCTTTCCAGCAATTCTTGCAGCAGCCACAATGTTTTCCAAGTCAAACTCACTGTCAATGTTCACAAACACGCCTGCTTCGGCAGCCAAGACCAAATCCTCCAAGATTTTCCCATTTCCATTGAAGATACACCTATTCATTTATGTAGTGACCACAAATTACACATAGAACCTCATAAACTTGTAACAACAGAAAAGTATAACTGATGAAAAATTGCCAAACAATGGAGTTTGAGTCATATATAAGGTTCTAAACTTGAATTCCACATCGAAAACTTTATATAAAACATCTCAAAACCATAAATAAATCACTTCATTCAAATCAATTTAACAAACCAAATCCATTCAAAATCATGTATATGAAAAAGCTTAAAACCAAACATCATCTAACCAAATTTATAAAACTCAATAAACCTTGTGGGATCAAATCCAGCACGAAGAGCAAGTTTAAGCTCATTTCCACTAACAAGCACGGCACCACAACCCAAGTTCCTCAAATGCTCCAAAATCTTATAATTATTATTGGCCTTGATAGCATAACCAATAATAGACGTTAACCCTTCCAATGCATTCTTATAAGCTTCAACGTTTCTAGTAATTTGGGGTTTGCTGTACAAATAAAAAGGTCTTTTTTCAACAGACTCCATAATCTCATCCACCTTGAGACCCTCGCAATACAGATACCCATCTTCGGATTTGCTGAAACAATGGTGAAAATGAGTGTTCTTGGTGTCTTCTAGTGGGGTTTTGGCTGTGCTTTGAGATTGAACTGCTCTGAGAACGCGCGGTTTCATGGTGGGTTGGGATTTCAGAGGGAAGAGAAGGTTTTGAGGAAAAGGGTTTTTGGTGAAAGAGTGATTGTAGGTTTTGGGAAGGGAACAAGAGTGAGAGAGGAGGTGTGTACCTGCCATGGTGATGGTAGAGAAGTTCAGTAGTAAGAGATCGAAGGAAAGTCAAAACCCTTAATAAGGTTCTTCTATTTATGTTTTTTTGGTTGTTTTGTTGAAAAAGGAAATGAGTTTTTTTTTGGGCTTTAGAGATTCTTTTCTTGGTTTGGCCCAATATTGTATCTTTTTTCATTGAGAATTTATCTTCTCACCGTATGCGGCGAAAAAACCTATAAAAAATTGAAAATATCTCTTAAATTTTAGAGATATATTTACAGACATACCATGTACTATTTTATTACGCACTAAATGAGTGTCACTCTAGATTGAACAAAATTTTATATGTATCTCCGAATATTTTTAATAAATATATTGATGTTTGAGCAGTACAGTGGATATTCTGGTTATGCATCTATGGAGGTTTGAGGCAGAACTTTTTTCGGAATAACTTGATAAAACACTCACCTGCATGATCACAGACTCATACTTATTTTCCACTCAAAACTCTTTCCAAAAACTCTTCCATTCTCAATTAACATTTTCGCACTAAATCTTCATTCTTGTGATTCATAACATCAAATGGAGTAAAAGAAGTTAGAATTTCAAGTAAAGATAATTTTATCAAGTCTCATTGCTCATATTAAGTTTATTTTTAGTTTGAAAAATGATCGTTTAATTTGGAGATTTATCTCTAGATTCTATATGAACTCTTCCGAAGATGCATCTTCGTATACTGTCTATTCTCATTTTTCAGCTCTGTTTACAGTATTAGTGGTTTTTTATTTTTATTTTTTGTAATTGCTTTCATTATATGTGGTGCACCCTGATGTTTTATCCAAACATATCAGTCTTTGGATGCCAAAGGTGTTGTTGTGAATGAGGTAGATGTTAGCAACCAATTTAAAAATGAGCAAGAGTATGAATTTCATTATCACATGTTTTAATGGATTTGTACAGAGGCCTCAAAACTGGGATTTAGTGTGATAATCAGAATGTTAGATAATTATTCAGATGGAAGATGTACATTTGTGACAATGACATGTGAAAGAAGTGAAAAATATATACATCCTCTCCGGAATTTTAAACGAAATGACAATGGTTCAAGAAAATGTGAGTGACCCTTTAAGTTGCATGGTTATTTGTTGGCAAATAAGAAATGGAGATTTAATATCATATGTGGTTTACATAACCCTGACTTGTGTGAAAAGTTAGTCGGTCATCTAATTGTGTGTCACCTCATGCCATGAGAGAATGAACGCGTTTCAGGCATGACATTGAATTTGGTTCAATCCAAAAGCATACTAGCAACTTTAAAACATAAAATACCCTAAAATATCTCAAATATCAAACAAGTGTACAATATTTGGTACCAAAATAACAAGGCGTTAAGGGAGGATAGAAGTGAAATACAATAACTATTGAAACTTTTGGATGAAAATAATTATGTTTCCAAGTACAGAATGTACGAGGATGGAGTAACCATTAGAGATATATTTTTGACTCATCCTCATTACATCAAGTTCTTCAACATGTTTCTTATTGTATTCATCATTGATTTAATGTATAAGACTAACAAGTACAAACTTCCACTATTGGAGATGATTAATGTTACCTCTACTGAGAAGACTTATTCTGTCGGCATTGCATTTTTAGAGAGCAAAGAAAAGGAGAATATTACTTGGGCTTTAGAGGTGTGTCGAACAATGTTTAAGGACCAATAAGAGATTTCAAAAGTAATTGTTAATAACTGCAATACCGCTTTGATGAATTTGGTTGCAAGATATTTTATAATTCTTATGCATTACTTTGTAGGTATCACATAAAAAAGAATATGAGAAGTCGAATTAAACTCGCGGTAGGGACGAAATAGAGAAAGGCCGGAGATGGAAAAATTGTGAAGGTGTGTGTGATAGTGGAAAAAAATCATGGATGCATGGAATGCTATAGTAGATTCTTCTACTAAAGAGTTATATGTTGATTATGTTATACATTTTAGGAAGGTAGGCAAGAAATATTCAGATTTGTTGAAATATGTTGAAAGCACAATTCTAGACCAAGTGAGGTAGAAAATTATTTGTGCATGGCCTGATTAGGTTAAACACCTTGGAAAAACAAAAACAAACCGAGTTGAGTCTGCTCATGCTATATTAAATAATTAGTTGAGAAATAGTAAAGGTGATTTGTGTAGAGATTAGGACTCTATGAACCAAATGATCCAGAACCAGCACAATAAGATACAAACATCATTTGATTGGAGCTTCACAGTTTTGGAACACAAATTTAAAAACAAAAATCTTTATTCTCAATTGGTCGGCTACATATCTCTAGTAGATTTAAATTATATTTTTCACGAAGATACGCGAGTTGATAATGTAGGCTCTGATAGCGCAATGTATGGTTGCACAACTATGAAAACCTATGGTCTCCCATGTGCTTGTCTTATAACAAAGAATGTGAAACTTGATAGTCCGTTAAGAATGAATGAAGTTTGCAGTCACTGGAAAATGCTTAGGTTTGATGATGATAGTATCATGAAAGACGGTAAATCGAATATCTCTATATTGATCAAATAAGAAAGGATACAAGAGCATTTTTGAAAGCCAATAATAATATCAAAATCCACATCAAAGAAAAATTGAGAAAGATTGATTATCCGGGAACCACTGACTTAAAACTACTGTCTCAACCAGTAAAAACAAAAGGTACTTCAAAGAAGGCCAAACCTATATCGAGTGACAATTCAATGGTATAGTCTCTTTTGTATTTTGAATATGTTGACAAATTTTTTCCGAACTCACCTACTCCAAAATCTCAAAAATTATTTTTAAAAGAGCTCACATTTACAGACCACCTCGTTCACCGCCTTCACCAAAAATTTCATTCATTTACGAGATGTTGGTTTTTATGCACAAATATATCAAATAAATCATCAATATTGAGGGTGACAGTAATTGTGTTTTTTGAATTAGTGAACCAAAACAAGAGGAAAATGGATGTGCTTCTCTGAATGGGTCATCTCATAGCAAATGTGTATGATAAAGTGTATTAATCTTTTCGGAAACTTTTTTCTAATTGCACACCGCCCCACCTTAAAATCCAAATGATCGTATTATGTATATTGGGTGGTTTCAATATCACGACACTTTGTTCAAATCTATATGAAACTGGGATATCATACACCACTTACATTAGTAGAATGGACAGTTCATTCAACAACAAAAGTCAAGACTTGGTCGGAATAATTCATGGAAAGGATGAAAGAGTTCACCAAATTAGGCAATATTGAAAGAGAATCAAATGCAGAAAAGTCAAATGGGGTACCACCCATACTTATAGATTTAGCCGACGATGAATCTTTCGGTTGGTTTTCGTTTTTCGTCATCAATTAAATACATTTTTATGTTTGCTTCAAAATTTGTTATTTTGCAAAACAAAACACACGGGTTTTGTTTTCTGTCTGGTCCAAGAGAGGTTCTGCAGATGCATATCCGGAACAAAACAATAGGGTGGTATCGAAAATGCATCTCTAAAATAACCATTGATACATGATAGAATTTTTAAGATCCATATTTATCTATAACTTCTATAAATGTGGGCTTTTATTTTTTATTCCATATAAACAGAAAATGTCGTAACTGTCACAAATAAACATCATTTGGTATGTCGCAAATGTGTCAGTTTCCAGCGCGACACTCAGGCGAAAGTTTAAGATCAATGAGTGCACCTCTTTTATAAATATGCAATACGAGGTAAAAAAATCTCTTACCTTACGGAGGTAAAAAAAATTGTGAAGTTCGAGTACCATTCACTGTCATTTAACAACGAAGACAAAATTGAGTTCAACAAATATGAACTCAAGACAAATACAAATGTAAATGCTATGTGGAATACATTTTTCCGTTTCGAAATAAAAGTTTTGATCAAAGTGGAAGTGATGATTTCAAGATCGATCAAAAATATTGTGAATATGTTGAAGCGTCCACCTGAACATTGAAATGTAATGTATGAGTTTATGTTAAGAATGATAACTTTATTTTGTCAAAATTTAACTTTCTAAATTTCTGCTTTTATTTCAATATGCTACGGAAATGTATCCATGGACAGACTCCGGAGATGCATGTCCGGATCTAAAAAAGACACGCTCTTAAAGTGTGACTCAGAATTGACCTAGAATGTGTGTGTTTGGAGTGTGTTCGGATATACTTCTCTAGAATATGAAGGCATTTTTATATTTTTCACATGCATTCATAGTAATATATAAGGTGCATTAAGAATTTTTCTTTTTCATTTTATACCCTCCATTTGTAACAAATATTTTTCTACAATATACTCTCTTGTACAAAATTGATTTTAGACTGCATGAATATTTGTTCACAACACAACTTTTGAATTTGCATGTCAAAAGTTGAATTTTTTATATAGATATTTCAATGATTATGTTAACTTGTGCCTTAAAGACACAAGGTAAGAAATTCACTTATAATAAATATGTATTGGAGAAAACAATTGAAAAATTAATTTTATGCTTTTATTAAATTCAATGCATAATTTTCAAAAAAAAAAATATTTATTAATTTAGTTTATAACTTGTGCCCCTAGCACTACCCATGTTTCAAAAACTAACTTTAAGATTATTTATACATTTTTCGAATAATGGTTTAGGAATCACAAAATTGATCCATATGATTGTAAGGGTCATTTATTTAGAAAATGTCATTAACTGTTTTTTAAGATTAAAATATATATACTACATTATTAAAATTATATATATATATATATATATATATATATATATATATATATATATATATATATATATATATATATATATATATATATATATATATATATATATATATAAGTTAAATATGTATATATAAGTTAAATATGTTACAGATCCCTATAAATAACCCAAAATCCAGTTTTAGTCTTTCTAACATTTTCGTTTAAAGAATCATCCTCCTAAAGATTTATGTCCCTAAATTTCCTCCCTGCCGTCTATTTCACTTAACGGTATCCTACGT